TGCCTCTGCCTCTGCCTCTGCCTCTGCCTCTGCCTCTGCCTCTGCCTCTGCCTCTGCCTCTGCCTCTGCCTCTGCCTCTGCCTCTGCCTCTGCCTCTGCCTCTGGGGTGCTGAGAGTAAAGGCATATATCACAACTGGCCAACAGCAACCTACTTTTTAGCCTGTCCTGGTGGCATAGGTTTGTAATCCCAGCTCCTTGGGAGGCTACAGCCAGAAGGATTACAAAGTCAAGGCTAGCCTAGAAACTTAACTGAGACCCTGTCTCAAAATGAAAATACAATGAACATACTGAGGGTATCACCCCCTAGTGAAGCACTGGCCTTGGGTTCAACATGCAGTACACGGACAGCCAGCCAGTGTAGCTTCTGACTCTCTTTGGGTAAAGTGCATGGGCCAGAAGTCCATTAAGTTCCATCTGTGCTTGCCAGAGCTCCAGGAAAAACTGGTTTCTGTGTATGAAGGCACTCTCTTGAGTTTAGGGGAAGGGTGGAACTTTTTTCCTCCAAAATCACACTGACTTTGGCTAGATCTTGTTGAAATGGTTGCTTGTCACATACCATTAATTGCCTGTAAAGTGAAAGAAGCCAGGCTACTGTTTGTCCAGCCCACACTGACTTTGTTAGAGAACTTTACAGAATTGACAGCCTTCATCTCCACAGGAGTATATACCTTGTCCAAGTACCTTCAGGGTCAGTGTGAAGGAGAAATGGTTTTAAAATTTTTAATCTGACTTTTAAATTTTGTGTGTGTGTGCTCACACGCATGTGAGTGAGGGTGCCCACAGAAACTATAGAGACTATAGAGACATATGCCTTGGAGCTTGAGTTACAGGTAATTGAGAGCCTATCAACGTGGATACTGGGAACTGAACTTGGGTCCACTGCCAAGAGTAGGGTGCACTCGAAGTACTGAACCATCTCTCTACTTAAAAAAATACTATTTTTTTTAAATTAGAGAAATACATTTTTATGATGATGAGAACCTAGTTTCTGTTGGAATAAAACCTTTGCTCGTTTCTGCTGGAAGGAAAAGGAAGGAGAACATTGAGTTATTTAATTTATTTTTTTAAAGATTTTTTATTATATATATAATGATCTATCTGCATGTACACCTGAATGCCAAAAGAAGGCACCAGATCTCATTATATAGTTGTCAGCTATCGTGTTGTTGCTGGGAATTGAACTCAGGCCCTCTAAAAGAGCAGTTAGTACTCTTAACCTCTGAGCCATTTCTCCAGCTCCCTGGTTTGTTGTTGTTGTTTTTAATAAGTTTGTAATTTGCAGAATGCTAATGTATTTCAAATTTCATAGATTTTTTTTAAACTCCAGTAACAAATATGTTGGTTGGTTGTGACTCACGATACTCTTTTTACATGGTTAGGGATTGAACCCAGGGCATAGTGCATGCTAGGCAAGGACTGTGCACTGAGCCCTGCCCTTAGCCTCTCACCAGGGGATTCTAGGCAAGCACTCTTCATCTCTTCAGCCTTTTATTTTTATTTTGAGATAGAGTCCTACCAACTTCTCCAGGCTGGCCTTGAGCTCACTCTGTAGCTTTGAATTCCCCCATCACAGGCTTTTGAGTAGCTAAGATCATAGGCCTGTACCACCAGACCTGGAGCTTTTTGATTTGGTGGTTTGTTGTTTGTTTGTTTGTTTGTTTGTTTGTTTGTTTGTTTGAGATAGGGTTTCTCTGTGTAGCCCTGGCTGTCTTGGAACTCACTCTGTAGATTAGGCTGGCCTCAAACTAAGAGATTTGCCTACCTCTGCCTCTTGAGTACTAGGATTAAAGGCGTGCACCACCTTTAGTGTGTTTTATTAATGTGCTTTCATAAAACAGGTTCCTGGGCCACTTGCACCCAGTATTCCTTGAATGATGACATGACTGACCTGCAGTCCCAAAATGTACCTGTTCCCAGTGACAGTTTGATGTGAGAAATACTTGCCCTGGAACTGGCATCAGGATCAGGGCCTTGTGAACTTCACTTCCTGAAATAGTCTGGTCTAGAAGTTCTTGTAGCCAGAGACACATTAGGATGTTGAACCTGGGTTATTTCCACCTTTCCTTGTCTAAGTAGTGATTTTGTGTATCGAATTCCTGTCTAGCTATGATCCTGGCAGGAAAAGCCTACTACGATGGAGTGGCCAAGATTGGTGAGATTGCCACTGGATCACCTGTGTCGACAGAGCTAGGTGAGCTGACCACCTTTTTGTTGTTGTTGTTTAAACAAAAACCTAGCCTGCTGTCCTGACTTTGAGAAGAGTATGTCAGGTGTGTCAAGAACACAAAGGAGAACTAGTTTTGCATTGTAGTTTGAGTTCACCTTGGCTCATGAAAATGGAGGGGTTTTTTGGAGGGCAGACCAAGCCTAGAGGGGCTCAGGGTCAAGGTGGGGGTCCCTTCCCATTCCTCTTGGGAGCTCTGCTCCTGCCTCTGCTGCCTGGGTTCTGGCCTGCCACCTCATATCCCTGAGGTTCCAGCTTGGAGAACTGTGACCTACATTTTGAACCAAGGTGGGTAAGACAGGCCAAATGCTTGGGTGACTCACCTTGTGGAAAATGACTCCTTGACTCCTTTATGCTGTGTTCTTGGCTCCCACTGCTTCCACCGTTGCCTTTGGTTGTGATTTTTCCGGTTTTGCTGGTATGAATGGATCCCCTGTGCAGGCAAGGAGGGTAGCCACACCCTCGGGAGCCCCCACTACAGCCAAGGGAAGCTGGCTTCTATTTACAGAGTATGCCATTGCTCTGCGGTCATCTCCTGCAGGGCAGGGCCACTTTGCTAATAGGCCCCCATGTCACCCTCATCTAAAATTTGTGGACTATGTTTTATTGTGTGGATGTTAAGAATTCTGCTTTAAGAGCTCTGAAAAGCACAGTGAAGAGTGAATGTGTATTTAAAGAGTGACATGTCTATCTCTACTTGGTGTCCAGTAGTCTTGAGGCTTCCCAAGGTTGCCTGAGAAACTCTGACCATGTTCAAAGGCTGGAACAAGCCAAAGACTTGGTGCTGGTGGCAGGGTGTGGGGCAGGCTGGGCTCATGTCCTCTGGCTGCTTTATGCCTAGGAAGTTGGTGGAACAATAGACAAAAGGCACAGTGCACCTCTGCAGTGATAGCGTATCATGAGTGGCAGTGCTGCCGTGTTGAATAGCAGCAGTCGTGCACGGTTCTTTGACCCCAGCTCATGCTCGGGGCTTTGGGACTTCGCAGTGCAGTGACAACCAGTAGCAACCCTGAAGCATCGTCGGTTTAATGGCATGCGGCCAGCCTTCCAGAGCATGCGGCCAGCCTTCCATAGCAGATAGCAATATTTTAGACATTTGGGGATTCAGAAGCAACGGGGGTGATAACAGGGCTCCAAAAATAAGATTAAATTAGAAAGAAACATCCCATTGTGCCAGGCATCGGGGAAAAAAGGTATGACCCTCTCATTAAAACATATGGTGCTCTGACTCACCACCATTCAGCTTGCCGTTTTAATGTTTTATGGGTCTTGCCACTGTTTAAATAAGACTTCTGTTCCACACCTTGCTTTATTCAGCTGCAAGTTCATAACATTGAATCAACTATTTCCACAGCAACAGTGTTGTTATAAACACCACCTTGAAATGCCAGTTTCAGTGGGGAAAGTATGTTGTGAAGGTGAATGTTCCTTCTATGAAGAGGAATTGAAGTAAAGTTTCTTCCAAGCTTCACTTTGTTTCTAGTTACCTAATTGTTTATGTCCACTTGTTGAATTTCTAGGTTGGTTTTTTTTAACCCATTTACAATTTCTCTAGATTTAAAAGTTTACTTCAGTAAGCCTTGTTTTGAGGGAGTTAATAATAACCTCTTTTGACTTGCATAGTTTTTCTTTTGGTATTGTTTAAAATACCATACTATATCCACTTAAATTCCCAGTATGAAAGAATAGTAGACAATTCACATATTGTTAAAAAGTAGAAGAGGAAGAAGGAAGAGAAAGAAGGGCTGGGGAAATGAGAATGAGTACTTGGCATACAAGCATGAGGACCTGAGTTCAGTTCCCTAGCCTTCATGTACAAGCAGGGTGTGGCAGGACATGCCTGCAGTCCCATCACTAGGGAGGCAGAGGCAGGAGTCTCTGGGCCTTGGTGGTCAGGTAATATTCCTGAATAGGTAAACACCCTATTCAGTGAGAGACAGTGTCTCAAAAATAAGGTGGAAAAGCTAGTAATAAAGACACATGACATCTACCTCTGTCCTCCACAAACATGCACACGTGTTCTTAGGTACCTGCACACACCCCTCCCCCAACAAAGAAAGACTAAATAAGCAAAGGTAGGTTGTGTTTTTTTCGTTTTCCAACACTTTTGTGTGGTTATTGCTTGTGGATACTGGTACTCATAACCTTATGAAACAAAGCTTATTTAAGACTGTTTCGGTTTGGTTTCTATTGCTGTGATAAAACACCATGACTAAAAGCAACTTGGGGAGGAAAGAATGTATTTGGTTTACACTTCCATATCACAGTTCATCATCAATGGCAGTGGGGCAGAAACTCAAACAAGGCAGGAACCTGGAGGCAGGAGCTGATGCAGAGCTGCTTACTAGCTTGCTCCTCATGGCTTGCTCAGCCTGATCTCTTTTATCACCAAAGACTGCCTGACCAGGGATGACACCACCTACAGTGAGCTGGGCCCTCCCACATTAATCATTAATGAAGAAAATGCGCCACAGGCTTGCCCGAAGACTACCCTAGCTAGGACGTTTTCTTAATTGAAGTTCCTTCTTTGCAGATAACTCTAGCCTGTATCAAGTTGACATAAAACTAGCCAGCACAAAGACTCAGGAGTGGTCAGGTGTGACGACACAGGCTTGTAATCCCAGCTCCTTGGAAGCTAAGGCAGGAGGATCACAAGGTCAGCCCTGGGGCCTGAGCTGTAGGGTGAGGCTCTTTCTCCCAAAAAAGGGAGAAGGACAGGGACTGCCAAGATGGCTTAGCAGTAAAGGTTCTTGTTGGTGGCCGACAACCTGAGTTCAATTTCAGGGACCCATATGGTAAAAGAAGAAAACTGACTCCTTCAAGTTTTTTTTTAACTTCCACATGTGCGCTATGATCTACAGCTGTGCTCATATGTGTGCACGTGTGTGTGTGCACACACACAATTAATGTAAACTTAGAAAAACTTTAACCAAAGGACTCAAGTACAGCTTGGGACAGTACTTGGCTAGCACACAAAGAGCTCCGAGTTCCATCCCTAGCACAAAGACTAGGGTATATCTGCAAAGAGGCTATGAATCATTTCAAATTTTTCATTCAGCATGTCTTTAGAATCTGTTGGTAAAGGCGGAAGGGGTTTTAGCTATAGGTGGGTTTCCATTTAGGCAATCCCACCTGGCCTCTGTTGGTCTGTTGTTATGTGAGTACACTAGTATGCTTTTCTCAAACGTGACGAAATATCTACCTTAGAGATTTAAGCAATAGGCGTGTTCATGACTCCATGTAAGGTCAGGGGCAGCAAGTTCATGCTGCGTCAGCTATCACCAAGGACTCAGATTCCATCTCTTTCTTCTTGTCTTCATACCCATTTCCTCATGGCTCCAAGATAACTACCAGTCTAATTATCAAAATTGTCTCCTCATTGTCTCCAAATACAGGAAGTAAAATGTCTCCTCATGTCCTTTTATAAGGACACACCCAGAAGCTCCAGCACACATCCCTCTATACTCCAAGTTAGGTTACACTTGTCCACTTCCGGCTGCCAGAAAAGATTCCTTGGTGTGGCCAGCCAAGGGCTGCGGAGGAGACAACACAGCTGTTAGAAGACAGTCCTGACATCAGGCATCTCTGGCATTAATGATCTGGTTTCAGTGGTTTTGGGTGAAGGGGAGGACATTACACAAATGTTCCCTGCAGACATTTGTGATGTGTTTTGCATGTGTCTAGGTTTGGAATGGCCTTTTCCCCCTCCCATGTGGACTGGTATGCATTTGCCCAGCATTTGTATGCATCAGACCTTGTCACCTGTTCCCATTGCACTTCTTTTTTCCAGAAGACCACAGCTGTCCTTAACAGTCTGTTCCTTTTTAGAGGCAATAATCTAAACGCAAAGGAAGAAGGGCAGTAGGGATTTTTTTTGTTTCTTTCACCCACTGAGTTTTATTGCTCACCTTTGATATCTTGTGACCATGGACTCCAGGGCATTTTCCTTTGTTCTGCTCGCTAGCTGCTTTCCTGTGTGATTCCTGCAGCCTTGTGATTGAAAACTAAGGGAATAGAGAAAAATGTAAAAACATGATCTGTAAGGTTACTACTGCGTGCAGCTGCCTCCCATCACCTGAACAATCTCTCCTAGTGAGTGTGCTGGCAGACACTGTGCCTGCTTTTGTCTAGCCCGCTCTTCCCAGTGATAAATGTGAGGCTGTCTCTGGTCACATTGTAGAAGGGGTAGTGATCCTAAATACTTGTGAGCTAGCCCCATGCCCAGCATTTGACACACAGTTACCAAGTAGTTTTCACTGTAGGCCTGTGTGGTGGGCATAAGTGCCTTCCATCCCTCATGGGCAAGACCTTGAGGTGCTGTGACTTGTCTCAGATCGCCAGGTAGTTAGTTGGTGGTCTGACTTTAGAATGAGTTCCTCACCTTTGCACTGTCATTGAGGCAAAGAGGAGAGGAAGGAGCCAGCCCAGGAGCCACTATATAGGGGCTCAACTATAGGGGCCTCTTCAGAAAATGATGAAGCCAAGCATGGTGGCTCATACCTGTGATCCCAGCCCTCAGAGTCTGAGTTTAAGTTAGTCACACCCTAACTCCAAAAGAAAGAGGAGGCAAGGCAAGATATGCTTACCTTCAAGCCCAAAGACCTGAATTTGCTCCCTGGAATCAGGGAAGAACCAATTCCTAAAAATGGTCTTTGGGCTACTACATGCCTACACACCATGGCAAATACTGCCCATATCCCAACCTCCCAAATTTTTATGTAATTTTAAACTTTAAAAAAGAGAGAAAATGATCAAATATGATGTTAGTGGCAGAGCGGGCCTGGCCAGTGTGTTTAGTGGTAATCAGTTCCCCTGGAAAATGATGTTTTCCCACAGATCTTTCTGTTAACAGGAGTCAAGGAATGAGTGATATGGAAATAACAGATAAACCACACACAAAAACACATATGTATACACAAAGTGTCTTTTCCTGTCTGCCCAAATTATTCTCACCGAGAATGTGTGGGGGATGCTTCCCCCACACCTGAAGTCCTCACTCATTCCATTCATTCCTAGGCAAAGTTTTTCTGAGTGATCACAGTTGCAGTGTTCCCTTCGGGGTGGTTGCTAGGTCTAAGAACAAACAACAATTACTTCCTTTGCAGAGCTAAGAGATAACCTACTTCCATAGTGACTGCAATGGGTCACTCTCTCTGGAGATGTACTTTGTAGCCAAACAAGACAGAGGAAGATCTGAAAAGCCCAATATCACTATGGAGGTGGGCAGGTCTGGCAGTCTTCAGTGTAGAGCGCACACCTTACAGCCATAGCCCAGGAAAGACCCTGTGCCCAGGGCAGTGAAGCCAGGCTATTGTTTACTATCCTGAGACCTCCTAGTGGGAGGCTTCCTGTCACTGGAGAGACCTTCCTAAAGGTTGTGGTGTCAGTTTGCTGGGTGCAGCCAAGCTTGGGCAACACTTGGCTTTTATGAGTGGGTTGGGCTTGCTTAAAGGAAGTGAAGGTCGTGCTGTGCAGTTTGAAGAAGAAATGAGATAATGTGCCTCCCAGCGTCTAAAATATCAAAGACTATAAAGGTGCCTCTAGTTCCCACTTTACAAGCATTTGGGGAATCAACAAACACTACTAGTGTTCTTCCTAGACAGTCTTTTCATTCATAAAGTAGGTAATGTGAATTTGTAAGAGTACACATTTTTCCATGATGACTCTTGTTTACTCATGAGTCAGTCATTCCATTCTCGATATATCTTTGGGTTTTTGTTTCATTTCCCTTTGTTTTTCTTTCTTCTATTGTTCTTTTTTTAACTTCATAGCTGGCACATTTAACATGTTCATCTTAAATATTGGTAGTTCTTGCTTTACATGGCAATAGTACCAGAACAACAACTGTGCAAATTCAAATCTTGCAGTCATCTTAATACTCAGAGGAGACAATTATGGTTGTGGCGCCTTTAAAAAGGTTTGGCTGAGTTGGGTGGTGGTTGTGCATGCCTTTAATTCCAGCACTCAGGAGGCAGAGGCAGGCTGATCTCTGTGAGTTTGAGGCCAGCCTGGTCTACAGAGCACGTTCTGAGACAGCCAATCCTACACAGAGAAACCCTGTTTTGGAAAATAAACAAAGTTTGGTTGAGCCAAGTGTGGTCGTACACACCTTTAATGCCAGCACTTGGGAGGCAGAGGCAGGAAGAGCACTGAGTTTGAGGTCAGCCTGGTCTGCATAGTGAGTTCCAGGACAGCCAGGGCTACATGTGAGACATTGTCTCAAAGAACAAAACATAACATAACAAAATTTGGATTGGGGATGAAGCTTAGTGGTAGAATGTTTGCCTACCATTCTTGAAGTTCTAGGTTCAATCCCACACACTGCAATAGGAAAAAAAAATTATTAAAAACTCACATATTACCCAGGTATGGTAGTACTCACCTATAAACACTTGGGAGGCTGAAGCAAGAGGACAACATCACCATGCATGTGCAGACTCATGCATGCACACATGTGCACGGGTAAAGAGATAAAAACTAAAATAGAAAAGAAATGAAAAGCAATAGCCTGTAGCCAAATCCCAGTGGAATTGATAAGGCGTAGCTGACTGAGCCAGTTGTCCTGCTTGGTTTCAGCAGACTCTGCATATGCAACCACAGGAACTAAAAGGAGCCCAGATTTATTGGTATAATTGAAGGAAGTGGTTGTGATGAAAAGGATGAAGATGTTTCTGAGAAAATGATGCCAGCAAAATCCCTTCACATGAAAGGAACTCCTCAAGACATTTTGCAACTCCATAACCACAGAGGATAGAATGTTAGAAGCTATTTGTGATACTTACTATGAAATATATTTTTGATCTTTGTCCAGATTACAAGCCCAGAGCTTCTAACCTTTGACTCTTAGTCTCCGGAAGGATAAACCTTTGTATGCTAAGAAGCTGACTGACAACTGGGATACCTGAGGCTCAAGGTGGGGGCTGCTTGCCAGCAAATGAGTAAACAAGTAGTTATGGCTACCTAAAGAAGCTTCTGTAAGAAGGACTTCGTTGAGGGAGCTCTACATAGGTGAACACAGGTTGACTCATGGAGTGCAGTGCCCAGGGAGAGAATGGAAGCCTGTCCATGTGCTCGAAGCATCCCTCCAGGAGTGTCTTTCCTTCCTTCTTTCCCTCCTCCCTTCCTTCATTCCTTCCTTCCCTCCTTCCTTCGTTTCTTCCCTCCCTTCCTTCTTTCCTTCCTTCCTTCCTTCCTTCCTCCCTTCCTTCCCTCCTTCTTCCTTTGTTTCTTTCATATTTTTGTGTTTGTTTGGTATTGTTTTTAGATTTTTGTTTGTGTTTTGAGATAGTTTCTCTGTGTAGTCCTAGCTGTCCTGGAACTCACTCTGTAGACCGGACTGCCCTTGAATTCAGAGATCTACCTGCCGCTGCCTCCCAATCGCTGGAGCTAAAGGTGTGGGCCTCCACCTCCCAGTCAAGAGTCCTTTCTATTGAACCAGTAATGTTTACCTGTTCTGGTAGACCCCCATAGCCAAACTCTTGGAAGCCAAGGTGGGAACTCTGCTTATAGCCGACAGGTGAGAATGTCAGTGATAATTTATTTTCTATCAGCTGTGAATAGGAGCAACCTTGTGAGACTGAGCTCTCAGCCGGTAGGATGTGTCACAGTCTTCAGCTAGACAGTGTCAGAATTGCATTTGAGGTCACATAGTTGTCATCCAGTGCAGAACTGCTTCCTGAGTGTGTGTGATTGTGGTCACAAAGCATTGTGTGTTTCGAAAATACAGAGAGAAATTTGAGTTTGTCTTTTCCTGACCCCCCCCTCCCCATATACACATTGGAAGTCAAACCCACAGCTTTGCACATGTCAGGTAAGTGCTCTACCACTGAGCTACATTCTTCATCTTTTTCATACATATCTAAGCAGATCCAAACTTAGAAAGCATATGACAATTTTTTTTAAAGACTGAAAAAAAATGTTCTAGATTCTGAAGTTATATGAGAAGCCAGCAAGCACTGTTGAAATTATTCATAAGAAATTCGCTCATTTATGTGCGACATGGTCACACTTTGTAGGGAAGGCTTTCCTCAAGTTCTTGTTCCTCTTGCCTCAGCCTCTCAAGTGCTGGCATTACAAGTATGTGTCACCACACCTGGTTTACCCTAAACCAGCTCTGAAAAGAGAAGTCAACTGGTATGGTGGAACCCACCACCCAGGTACTCAGGAGGATCACGTTTAAAACCACAAATTTGAGGCCAGCCTAGGCTACCTAGTGAGACCCTGCTCAGAACAACAACAACAAAACAGAAATTAACTTTAATTCTTCATGTTTCTAGTAATTTAAATTACGTATCAAGAGAAAAGAAGGGAGGCTAGGAACCAAATTCAGTTCCTAGAATGCTTGCCTAACACACACATCACCCTGGGTCAGTCCCCAGACAGCATAAAAGCAGACACATTGGCACGTGCCTAGAATCCCAGCACTTTGTCGGGGCTGAGGATGGGGATAGGGGGAGGACCATATATTCAAGGTCATTCTTAGTATATAGTGAGTCTTCTTCAGGCCAGCATGGACCACTTGAAATTGCTAAAAACAAAAACAAAAAACCAGCAAGCCTTTACGTACAGATGGCTAAGCTTGAGTGATCCTGCCAGAACTTTGATAGGAACAACTGTTTCTTACGGGGTATGTGGTCTTAACAGACCTTAACAGTGTGAGCCCAGCAACCACAGCACTCCAAAGCCTCAGTCCTTAACCGCTTGGTCTTGCTGGGAGGAATAGACTCAGAGCACTGTAGTGCTATAGACAGGGTTCAGCAGGTAAAGTGGTCTAACCCATTGTGTTTGATTCTTAAATAATAACTCACATGGTCAAAGTCATGGCTACAAGCTGCAGTCATACACACAAAACTTGCTGCCACCACCACAGCTCAAGCTGGCAGCACGCTGACCTCCAGTACCTGAGAGAGGAACTGCAGCGTCAGTAGGTGGCAAGCAGCGCTTATACTTTAAACTTAGAAAGCACTGAAAAGGTGAAACAGAAAATAGCCAGGAGAAACTGTTTTAGGAAGATATTTCAAAGAGCCTCAATCTATTTTTTGATCCTTAAAGCAGAAATAAGCAGGAAAAAAAAGAGGTTATTTGCATTTATTAAAAAAAAACCCACAAACAGAAAACAGCTTTTCTTCTGGGAATTTATAAACATGCTTTCATTTTTTTTTTTATGTAGTGTTATTTGTTTCAATTTGGTAAGCTATTCCATTAGAGTTATGTATTTAATTTCTTTTTACACTTTATTTCTGTGTGTGTGTGTGTGTGTGTGTGTGTGTGTGTGTGTGTGTGTGTGTACACGTCATGGTGCTGGTCTGGAGAACAGAGGACAACCTGTGAACATCAGTTCTCTCCTTCTACAATGTAGGTTCCAAGGATTGGACTCCGATTGTCAGGCTTGGCTGTAGCCTGGGGCATCTCCCTACACTCCAGACCAGATTATTAAATTGGAAACAAAATTAATTCTTCTAATCAGTATCCTGGAAAACCAGGGGTTTCTCCCTTCCTCTTTCCCTTTCCCTTTCTTCCTTGGTCTTTGAGGCAGTCTCATATACTCCCAGCTACCCTCCAACTCACAATCTTCCCGTGACTTTCTGTCTGCTGGAAAGACAGGGATGTACCGCTGTGCCGGTTTGTGTTTTTCCTCCTACTGATTTTCAGATCGACAGTCTTTAGTCTTAAGAATAAAAGCAGGAAAGGGTACGAAGAAATATTTTGAAAGAAATATGCAATGCTGGGAATAAAAAGCTTACTGTGCAAGCCTGAGAGCTGCATCAGATTCCCAGCATCTGCACAGAAGCTCTCTTGTTGGGGAGATGTGGAGGCAGGCAAAGACAGAGGATCTTTGGGGCTTGCTAGCCAGTAAGCTCCTGGTTCAAAGACCCTGTCTTAAAAAAATAGGGCCAGGCATGGTAGTGCACACCTTCAATCCTAGCACCCAGGAAACAGAAATAGATGGATCTCTGAGTTCAAGGCCATTCTTCCATAGGGAGTTCCAGGCTAGCCAGGGCTACATAGTGAGATCCTGTCTCAGTAATAATAATAATAATAACATGGAGAGTGACAGAG